TTCCGACCTCAGATGCCCTGTGATTCTGAGATAAGGAGGTTGAGGTCCCGAGGAGATGCAGGACTGGGCTGAGCCCTCTGTAGGGGTGTGACTGTGCACAAATGCAGCTACATTTGGCATCCTACAGCCCTGTGTGATCACACCTCCCCCGCTGCATGTAGTGCTATAAAAATGTGACATGGCTCAATAATCCTTCTCCTGCTGTTTTGGTGTAATTTCTGTCTTTATGCTGTGTGTTTTCTTTGCTTGCTTCCTCCTTTCACCTTCCCAGCTGTCTCCTCAGAGCAAACTTCCGTGACTCTTATTGTTCTGCCTGTTTTCATTCTCCTTCTTGGGTAAATGTATCTTTTTTTTTTTTTTAAGTGTGGTTTCCTAAAGCTCTGCAAAATGCTCTTTCCCTGCTGCATTTCGAAATATTAGTTGCAAAAAAAAGGGAGAAATATACTTAATTCAGGTTCATGTCTTCTTTTATCTGTTTTTCTTTTCAACAATGACTAAAGCCAGTGATAAATAATGCTAATTTTTGGTACCATCTGTGAATGCAGAACCAAGCTGTTTCAGAGCAGCATTTTTGGTGCTTTTATCTGTTCAGAGGGGAAGGGAAAAAGCTCTTTGCATTAGCAGCAGTAACCTATCTCCCACAAATTGTAGTCTGTGCTCCCATCTACCACTAAAACCCAAAGCAAACAAAGATTTCGTGCAGAGACAGGAAACCTTTTGGGTGTAATTGCCGGGAGGTCTTTTGCTTCCACGATTTTTGGGTTCACGCAGCCAGGCAGCCGAGCAGTGCTGCGGGTTCGCTGGGGTGGGTTTGTTATGAGCTCTCACTGCGCTCTAATTCGACGTTTTTGGCAGCTCTGAGGGCTTTAAACACCCTCTGCAAGAGTCTCCTGGCCAGGCTGAGTGAAAGAATGTCCCATGGAGGGAGGGAGGGAGGGAGGGAAGGGGCCGGTGAGTGGAGGCACAGCTGAGCTACGCCCTGATGACAGCCCTGCCCCCAGGCTCCTTTATTTTGGCCTGGAGCCTTCTTTTACATAATCCTGCCCTGATCCCTCTCCTTCTGCAAGGATTGGAGTTAGAGGACCCTCCAGTTTAACCAGATCGATCTGGGAAGCAGTTCCCTCCCATCATCCCAGCCAAGAGGTGGTGGTGTTGGTGGAGTCAGTTGGCTTGGGATGTATCAGAAGACCTCACCAGTACCAGGACTTGATTTTAAGGCTCCTTTGAAGGCTGGGGGGGAAAAAAAAAATTAAACCTTGAATATGGTCTGGAAAACTGTGGAGCAGGTCTGGCTCCTGGAGCCTGTGTGTTGAATAGCTGATGGTACCACAGAACCCCACGTGGGTGAGGTCTCACCTGCAAAGTCCTCGTGGCATTTTTGGGTGTGTTTATCTCTGGGTCATGTGAGATTTCCAAACCAGAATTGTGCTGTGATTTAGGATCACTTTCCCAAACCAGAATTGGGCTGGGATTTAGGATCACTTTCCCAAACCAGAATTGGGCTGTGATTTAGGATCACTTTCCCAAACCAGAATTGGGCTGTGATTTAGCATCAAGTCTTTGGGGAAGCTTGTCATGGCAG